AACCATGACAACAGCTGTCTGTACATATGTTTGTTTGTATGCATGTATGTATGTAGGTATGTACGTATTGTTTGTATGTTTGTTTGTATGTTTGTTTGTATGTTTGTATGTTTGTTTGTTTGTTTGTATGTTTGTTTGTTTGTTTGTTTGTTTGTATGTTTGTTTGTATGTATGTATGTTTGTTGGTTTGTATGCATGTATGTGTTTGCAGGTGTGTGTATGTATGTATTTATACTATCGCAAATGCATGCAGCAGAAACGTGCCTAATTAATAAATGTAAGATCACATGAGTCGACTTTGTTGTTGTTGTTGATAATGTTGTTGTTGTTGCTGTTGTTGATGTTTTTGTTGATGTTGTTGTTGTTGTTTTTATTGGTGACCAAAAAAAAACATGACGTCATGTTGTTGATGACGTCATAGTTGTTTTTGTTGTTTTTAAAAAAATAAATATCGCAATAAAAACCTTTCACAGTCGAGATGCCGACGATCAACTCCTTCTTTCTCTTCCATTCATCACCGTCCTCATCATCATCGTTCTCATCATCATCATTATCATCATTGTTGTTATTATTATTATTATTATTGTTTTTATTATTAATTATGACGTCATCATCGTCGTCATCACTTCTTCTTTTTATGGCGGCCGAAAATGTAAATGGAATTTTAATTAGACCCTGTCCAACTTCGTTTACGCTAATTTCAGCCAGCGAATTTAAGCCGTCGAATATGTATTCAGGTTGAAAATTCTCAACTGAATTCTCATTGGTCGGGATAATTCGGTCGGTGTTTTGATTGGCCAGCTGCATGAGATCGAGTAACGGGATTGGATGGCCTTTTTTGAGTTTTTCGAATAAATTATGATAATTTGGGGTTGAATTTGCTTGGTCGGGTGAATATTTTGTTAAATTTGTGAGTTAAATCATAAGCAACGTCATCATCATCATCATCATTATCATCATCATCACAATCATCATCAACCCAGCCATCATCATCATCATCATCATCAACACTTACCGCATAGCTTGTACATGGTTTCAATGGAATAGGGTACAACCCTGCTTGCAACAAAATCCTCATCATCATCGTCATCGTCATCATCATCTTCGTCGTCATCATTGCTATCATTATCATTATCATTATTATTATTTTTATTATTATTGTTATTATTATTATTATCAACAGTTGCGTTGTTGTTGCTGCTGTCGTCAGCTGTCATAATTATAACAGTATTTATAATAACATTAATAATTATTTATAATTTTATAGCTACAGACACGAACACACACACACACGTACACACACACACACAAACAATATTCACCATTGTAATATGAAGAGTCCATTTTTAGTTTTCGAGGGGGTATCATGATGAGTTGAACGGTGGTCGTCAAGTGTTTTGGCAGGCAGGAATCATCACAAGAATCTAAGTGCATACTTCCGGCAAATATGTCGATGACGTCATTATTATTATCATTATTATTATTATTGTTGTTGTTATTATTATTATTGTTGTTGTTGTTGTTGTCGTCAGAGCTATAATCTGTTATTAATGTTTTGTATTCTATTTTATTTTTTGTCTTTGTAGTAATAGTTGTAGTAGTAGTAGCAGTAGTTGTAGAAGTAGTAGTAGTAGTAGTGGTAGTAGTAGTGGTAGTAGTAGTGGTAGTAGTAGTG